GAATTAAAGTAGTTTTTAAATTATTTAAAATTTAAAAAATCTACATAATCATCTTTTACATGATGAGATTTCCACCTAATATTGAAAATGTAAAATAGTCAATCACTTAGTGGAAAAATTAGCTATATTAGCATTTAACTAACGAAAAGATGAAATTGGTATTGAAAATTGAAGTTGTAGGATGTTTTGGTACTTTTTGAAGTTCAAGAATGAATTAGTTCAAAAATAAAAGTTGAGGGATCAATTTAGGTATTTACCCTAAAAAAATATGTTAAGTACGTCAACATCACCCCAATTAATCCTTAAATAAAAAAAGTTGAATACCAGATATAAATTCTTAATACCTGCAGTGAATGTTGACGTTTTTGGGTTGCGTATATTTTTTAGGGTATCTATATAGAACAATCTCGATATTGTTGTTACGGGTTTGAGTACCCCTTGTACTTACAGCAATAAATATCTTTTGACTTTCAAAAAATAAAATAAAATAAGTTGAAAGTTGATATCCTTAAATAAAAAAAGTTAAAAATTGACATTTTTATTTAGAAAAAATTGAAAGTTAACATCCTTATTTAGAAACTGATAAAATTAACATCTTTAAATAAAAAAAAAGTACAAAGTTAATATCATTATTTACACCTTTACTCGAAACCTTATATCACATCTTTATATTATTGAGATAAAAGGAAGGCAATAATACAATTGTTTACTATTGATTTTTCCCTAAATATATCACATCATTTAGATTTAATTGCCAATTATTGAAATATCAAGTTTTTACTAATTAAAACACTTTGTTAGTAGCTGATTGCTACTGTTTTAAGTATGAAAATAAAAACGTATAAAAAACATATAATGATGCTAGGTGTTTTTCTGTTTATCAACATGGGCAGAATAAAAGCCAGCATCGCTTTTGAAAATTTTGGTGCTTATGTTCGAGAGTTGAATTTTTTCATGAAATATACTTAGGTCTAAACTGCACCGCCTTTCTATCACCTTCCTTGGAATATTACCAATTAATCCTGCTTTTATCAAATTTATTCCCTTCTTTAAAAAAAAAAATGACCTTTATACTGAGGTCCTTTAGTCTTTTTTCTATGGCCATGTCTTCAACTGTCCCGGCGGTGACTGGTGAGTTAAACTTAGTTTAACAAAAACCTGTTTTTCAAATCAAAGGGATTTGCGAGTTAATTAGAAAGAAAAGTCAAAGTGGGAGAGGGAAATGTTGTTTGTATGTGAACAAAAACAAAGGAAATGTCCAAGTTGTGTGGTATATGAGCCGATCAATTGGCAGAAGGTGACGAATAAGACCCAATACACATACTTCAGACTTCATCATAAACTCAAAATATTATATTCAATCAAATTTATGGGTCTTCATACCGTACATACGTTTACTTTACTGATCTTATACATATTTTTTTGATATAAAGTTTCACATTCACATGTAAATTGTCACGCCCCAGTACTTAAATCCGGGAGCGAAACAAATGCCATACACTTATGAGAGGATCCCACAAATGCACAAGACGCGGAACTTACTAAATTCATAACTAATAATCCACATAACTTAGATCAATAACTCACAATAAAATCTAACTAGCGAAAGAATAATCTATATTTCAAAAAATCTATGTCTAAAATACAAGTAATGAGCCTTCTAACTCGTCACTCTCCTTACTTTCCTACGTCTTGAGTCACACTACCTAAAATGGTGAACAAAGAAAAACTATTGAGACAACTCAATAAATAAAATATAGATAGCCCTTAAATAAAGTTAAAGTATGCCAAATAAACAATTTAAACATAAACTAAAAAAAATATCTCAATGATAAACCATTAATGCAAAATAAAATTAAGCAGTGGTTTCCTCAATTAATCATGGCTAGTGTTTAACAAACTCCCACTAGCAGGCGTCAGTAATAACCAATAACTAGTGTATTATACCACTGGCATGATTACAGAATGAACCAGTCTTACAAGTATACACGTCGACATGTGCTAGCTTCTGTAAACTTCCACTAACGGGCGTCAGTAATCATGACAATATTAGAGATAAAACCATACAGGAATTACAAGAAAATCCATAATTTCAGGTTATCAGAACAGTTCAATAAACTCCAAGTAGGCATACTCATATCAATAAATGATAACAATTTCATCCTAAACCAATCATGCTCGTTTTTGTGTAAAACATGTTTAATACCCCCACCACTTCAAAAACAATTTAAAATATACTTTTAAAACCTTTACCTTAAAATCCAAGGGCATTACCATAATTTTACTTACCTCTTCTTGTAAGCTTACAACAGCAAGTATTTAAGGTTTCAAGGAGATGGTGGTGACTTAGAACCTATGCCACATTAAAAACCAAACAAGATTACAATGTACCCCATTTAGTTAAATTGACTTCTAATTCCAAAAATCAAGTTTCTATCCAAGGTAACAATTTCTTCCTACACACCCTTACTATTTCTGCCCCTTTGAAATCTCATTAACATATAAATATGTTTAACCACACTTAGAGTGTGCTTAAAACAACTCTCATTGTCACACGCAACAGCAGCATTTATAGGCAAAACAGCATCTATTTATGGGTAAAAACAGCAGAAATTTCTAGCAAGAACAGCAAAATTTTTTTCTAGACAAACAGCAACTATTTTTATGACAAAACAGCAGGGGAAAGTATAGGAAAATATAGAATTTTCTAGTTTAAAACAATGCAGAAAACAGCAAGGGAAATGCAGAAAAAAGCAGAATTTTTCTGGGTTAAACAGTGCAAAAAACAGCAAGGGAAATGCAAGAAAATAGCCAAGATTCAAGCAAAATGCAGTAGTAAAAGCAGCCATGATTCAAGCAAAATGCAGCAGCAAATGCAGCCATGACAATGGGGATTTTCAGAACAGAACAGTAGGTTTAAAATGTGAAAAACTGCAGCAAGGCGAGCATGACAACAAGAATTCACAAGATAATCAACCAATTACGACAATCAAGTCATTAAAAAAATGTTTTTTTGCACCTAGAGCAAAATGGGAAATTTAATCTACACTAACAACCACAACAAGCCTCAATAATGCAGCAAACTTAGAAGCAAGAAAGAGCACATACAATTTCCCAATTTAAACAGTCAAAATTTACACTATATCTACTGAAATTAAGGAAAGGAAGCAATTTTGTGCTCAATCTTACCAAAAAATCTAGTGAGAGGCTGCGGGTCTTCCTAGAAATGGAGACCCGAGCTGTAGAGACAGCAAGAAATTGAGGAGGCCAGCAAATGTCTAGTAGAAAGGACAAACCCAGGAGTTGTTGAAGATAATGCGCAGCTGCTGTCAGGTGGAGACAAAGGTCTGCGGCTTAGGGAGCTAGGAAAATGGAAGAGAAAGATCTGGAGTGATGAGATCGGTGATGAAGGGTGGCGAAGAGCAGAGAAATGGTGATGGAAATTAAGGAATGATTACGGTGATTGCTAAGCCTAGGCTT